TGTCTGAGACAAAAAGGGAGGGTTTCATGTAGGTCTCAAGGCTGAAATGAGCTTGGTATGTTCCAAGAGTAAAAAGAAATAATTTGGTTTAAATGATGATTCAAAAATAAAGATGTGGACCAGAACAGGTAAGGACCAGAGGCTTGGAAAGGCTTTTGAGTGTTTAATGTTTTGCAACATTCACTGAAGTATTTAAAACAACAGTGTAAAGATTCAATTTACACTTTATAAGGACCTCTTTGGCTGGAATGTGGACATGGTGTTTTAGAAGTAAAAGATGAAAGGACAGTTTGAAAGAAGATTGCAACAGACCACGTGGGGATAATGGTGGTCTGGAACAGGGTGGTCACAATGAGGACTGACTGGCCAAGGAGATGCTCAGAACAAGATGCGTTGATGGATCATATATGGGGCAATCAGAGTGAACAGGAAGAAATATCCTGCTGATTCAAAACTTTTTGGTATAGATGACAGATTGTTTTGTAAAAATGCAAAAGATTAGCAAAAGAACAAACTCTGCAGTTCTGTTTTGAGCATGTTAAACTTGGAATGCATAGTTCATCTCTAAGAGTATATGTTATTTATCAATATGCGAGAATCTGGAATTTACAAAGCAGATAAAGACCTGAGCATACATATGGGAATATGGTGGCTATGTTCTTCAAGAGGACAAACTAAATAATAACTTCTACTTACAGAGTAGAAATAGCATGCACATTTTGCATTTGGAGTATATTTGTGATGAATTAAGCATTAAAAGATATTTTAATTAATCTCTCAAGAGAATTTGAATCTGAATCTTACAATTTTCTTTATTCCTGGCGCACTCTTACAATGCACTGCCCTTAGGGGGAGTGCTTGGGCTGTAGTCAGCTTATAGGTATTTCAATGTCATTACAGGCCTCAGCAAGAAAACACTGAAGACCCGTCCGTGTGCCTTGCATTTAACAGAAACACCTAGATGAAGCATTCTCTTTTTGCACCCAGGTAACAGTGGAATGTGTATTTTGCTGCCATTGTGTGTACTTCAAATGTAAGAAGTATTTAACTTTCCATATTCAATCACACATTGGATAGTAGCAACCATCATTTTAGAAATAAATGGAAACAGTGCATTTATATAATCAAGTTTCATAAACTTGTGATTCTGAATGAGGTTATATTAATTTTAATGTGTTTGAATGTTTCTAACCATCACCCCTCAATCAACATTTTGTAGTTTTTTCCCCCTAATTTTAATCAAGTATGAGCCTGTCTTCACATATGTATTAATCATTCAGGTTTCCCTCATGTAAAGTTCTTGTCTATATCTTCCTGAGATCACTGGCTGGTTGTCTATATTTGCAGAAATTCTGAATATTCTTGACTCTGTACATTTGATACTGTTTCTATTTGGTATCACTCCATTAAATTCCTGTTACATCCTTTAGTGTTGCTAAGTCCATCAATTTCTCACCTACTAGTTTGAGTTTAAGATATTATTTATAAGGCCTCATTCACTTAAATTCACCAATTGCCTGCTTATTTTACTAGCTTCATATTTTCCTACTACAAATTTAGGTAGAACTTTAATATAATATAATGATAGAGAATTTTTGTCATAAAAGGAGTGTGATTTCCTGATATTAGCTATATATATTCTGTCCTTTCTTCGTTGTTGACATCTATTTTTAACTCTCTCCAGTAGAAATGTTCCCAGTGATCAATTTTTGTTTCCTTCATAATTTTACATAGTTCTCATTACTATGTTCATTTCATTACATGTCAAAATGTGATAGGCAAAAAATTTTCCCTCTTTTATCTCGAATTTAAAATATCTATTCAGGGCTATAAATGTATGCCCATTTACACGATGACTTAATATCATTAAAATATTAATCAAAAAATTTTTATAACCCATTTGTTACTTTTAGAATTTTACCCATTTGTATAAGTTTTAAAATTATTGATTGCTCCTACTAGTCTTATTTTTATTTGTGTCATTATTTTTCCTTACCATTTATATTTCTTTCTTTTTATATTAAGATTAGGTGATCAATATAAGCTTGTTCAACTAATCTCTAAAATGTTTTTTTATGTTTATTCAATATTATTTTAAATTGATTTTTGTCTTCAGTTTTATTTTATCTGTCCTACTTATTAAATTCACTGCTTGCTTCTTTGTTCAATATTGGTATCTGATAAATATAGTTAAGATGTTAAATTAGATTTGAGTGCTTCTTTTACTTTGCCCAAGAATTTAATTTTTTTTTCTATTTTTCAAAGTGTTATTTAATTTATGTGAGTGAATTCCTTTCTCCCCCAAAGAATATTTAAAGCAATGTTTATGTTCCAAGAATATTTTCCATCTTTTGTTCACTTTATTATGTGTTTTAATTCTATTGTTATAATTACTCATAAGTATCATAAATACAGATATAACATTTTTATTTCCTTTCATTATTATTAACTTTAATATTTTATATTAGTAATAATTTCTTCTATTCTTAAGTAAAATATTATTATAAATTTTTTTTCTTTAGGTCATCTAACATTATTCTAAGGCTTACTCTAATAATATTATTATTAGTTTGTGCCATAGTTTATGTCTGTTCTTCTAATACATCCCCCTAACCTATCTAAGGTATTAATTATGCTTATTTTTATGTTGATTTCTTAAACATAACAGCATAATTTTCACTGATCTCTCATGATCTCATGAGATCCTACTCCTTGTCTTACTTCCATGTTGGTTTAATTATTGAATTATTTTGTTTAGTGACAATATTAGGGGCCTCTTTTAGTTAATTATAAATTTTGATGTTATTTATCCTGTCTATATCTCTTCCTGTGTAACCTCCTCCTGCGATTAAAGAGGTATGAAAATACCTCTTTTGAAAATGTTTCCAAATTCAGTCATGACATAACACATTTGCTGAGAATTACATGTTTGACAATATCTTTATTCTGTTCTATCATTTTATAATCCAGGACAGAGTTTTTCAGTGGATTTAAAAAAATTAAGGTCAAACAAAATATTACCTGCCAAATATTAACTATATGTAGGGGAAAAAATAGGAAAAGAGTAAATATAAAGAAATTGAAAAGATATATTTGGCAACAATAATTATCTAATAGAATATGTTCACAAGAATCATGTATCAGCATGTTTATGGAACCACTATTAAAATAAGCCCAAGCTGGAAAACAGAAACAATCTAAAAGACTATTTTAAGGACTGCTTGTTAAATAAGCAATAATATCTTACCCTACTATAAAATAATAATGACATTATTGAAATCTTACTATAGCAGGGATTACCCTCAGTATCTACATGTTCAGATTGAACATGATGTCTGATCTCTGCATGAGGTCAGATTGAAATCACAAACTTAGTTTCAAATGGTTTGTCTGTACTGAACATATACAGACTCCCCTCCCCAATAATTATTACCAAAACAACATTGTATAACAATGATTTATAAGGCATTTATATAGTATTAGGTATTATAAAATCTAGAGATGATTTCCAGTATGTGGGAGGATCTGCAAACTCTAAACCATTTTATATAAAGATCTTAAGCACCCAAGGATTGTGGTCTACTGGAGGTCCTGGAGTTTATCCCTCTGCATAATGAGGGACAGTTGTACTTACTTGTTACAAGAGGTTATGAGTTTGTTACTAAACATTTCCACTTCACACCTACTGTCTGAAACACAGAGTAATTCAACAACTTACCCAAGATCTCCCAGCGTACATATAGATTCCGGTCTCCAGTACTGAATTCCAGTAGTGCCCCTTATTCAGTTTGCTTTTCACAGTTCTGTTACCTGTGGTCAACAGCACTCTGAAAATAGTTGGTACAATAAGATATTTTGAGAGAAATCCCATTAGTTAATTGTTGTATTACTATTCTTATTAATCTATTACTGTGTCAAATTTATAAATTAAACGTTGCCATGGGTATGTAAGCACTAGAAAACATAGTATTAATAAGATTTGGTCCATCCATGGTTTCAGGCATCCACTGGGGGTCTTAGAAAATATACTCCATGGCTAAGGTGGACTCCTGTGTAACCGCCCACTGTCTTCAAAAGATGGTGCTGGTTTTTTGTGGGACACAAGATTCCCTTTGACTAACTTTTCTACTCATTTCAATTTGTGACTCATTTTCCCACACATTCATATTATGTGTAAAAAAAAAGTGAACAAAAAAGTAATGATGGTCACTTATCGAACAGATAATTTCTCTAACTTGTAAAGTTCATAGGAAAGTCTTGGGGGAAATTATGTTTCAGGGTAAAACTTTCCAAATGTGTCTGTGATACTTGTTTCATTTTTAAAGCCTTTTAAAGCTATGCCAATCAAGGTGGGCATGGGCTCGCCTCCTTTTCGAAAAAATGTGGCACTGCAAATCCTGTGCCTGCTTCACCTTGGAAGCTGGTGTCAGCAAAACAGAAAAGACTATAAGATGAATATTTCATTGATCTTTTATTATTATTATTATTATTTATGTTTAGGCTTCAAGGCACCTGGAACTTGTCAGACTCACCCTTGCAAGTGGAAGAAAATACAAGTAATAAAAAGTCAAGTAATACAAGGAGAGCATTCCAGAAATCCTGTCATCTTGCATAAAATAAAAGTTATTTTGCTTTTTTAAAAAAAGTGTATATTGGTCAAATTAAAAACGTTTTCCTTTTCATAGGTGACATAATAATATTTCTTAAAAATCTTCATTTCCAACATGCCTGTTTATAGTGCAGGTTGTTACTCCACCAAATGCTAAGGCAGTAAAATAAACCCACTTCTCGCTTCCTTCTCCCTTTTCTCTCTCTGCCACACATGAAAATGGAAAAAGTGACTTATTTTTGTTATCACATTTTTCACTTGCTTGCCCTTTAAAAACAAAAAATGCATAGGCTAGAATGAGTACAACGAAGTTGGACAGCCAACCTGGCCTGTTTGCGTTTGCAAAGAGCGAAGCTGAAGTCTGGTGGTGAGGGGGTGGGCAGACAGGTGGTGGGCTTGCTTGAAAGGAAAGTTGGACGTGGCTGAAAAACAGTACTGTTCCGTGGTGTGTAGGCGGGGCCTTGCATAGAGCTAACGAGTGGGAGCGCAAGCAGTCCTTTACGGCCAGCCACAGCTCTCCACAGAAAACCAGGATGAAGACGCTGGAGAGGCTGGTGAGTGAGGACCCGCACGGGGACTGGGGCGAGGGGTTGCGGGGCGCGCGGCGGGGCTTGGGGCGCAGTGGGGTTGTGGCGGGCGGCGAGGGTTGGGGATGGCAGCGGCTGACTACCCTAGTGAACCCGGTAGCCTGCTCTGTGGGGTGTCTGCCTGCTTTTTCCTTTCCGAGTTTAAACTTCTTGGAGAAGCAGATCTTGCCTTATGAGAAATGATTTGCAGGTCGTCTTGGCAACTCTCTTCTCTCTCAAAAACCCTGGAGAAGGCAGGTTTCTCCGTGCTTGTTATTCTAGGGGAGGGCTGTTGTTATTCTGGGGGAGTGCCGGAGGGGCGAGCTGTAGTCCGGGTATTGGCTAAGTGTTGGCACAAAAGCAGGGGTGAGGTTGCAGAATTAGATTCAACGTTTTCGGGATAGCTCGCTCCTCCTTGATGTTGAGGGGTCTCTCTTCTGGGTTTTGAGTTCAGAAGCCTTACGATCAGTAAAATCCAGAGTATCCTAGAGAGTGACAGACATTGTTTGTTTACTCAGGATGTTTACATGACTCCAGATGAAGTGAAGGGCTTTTATTTATATTGCCAGAACTAACTAAAAAACAAATTAGCAACTTTAAAAAATTAATATCGAACTGCAAGTAATGCCTCGAGGGGTTTTTTTTTTTCTTTCACATACAGTTTATCCGTAAGACTACTCGGCCAGTTATTCCCATGTCTTACTTCACAAAGGAGAGGTGTGGTCTGACAGCCACTGTCTGCTGCCTTCTAGATGTTTGTAATCTTCATCAGAATCCTTCAAAGCAGGATTTTACAAATAAGGAAACAGCTTAATTTTCCAACTCCGCGTACTAGACCAAGATTTGTTGTGAAAACATTAAGGGGAAAGTTATGTAGAAAGCAATGCCCAATGGGCAGCAGCCAGGTAAGAGGGCAGGCCTTTGGGACCCTCTACTTTGGCAAAGGGTAGCAGTGGAGCCTCCATTTCCATGTTTATATTGCTTGTATATGATTAATGATTTTATTTTTTGCTATCCCTCATTAGCATTTAGTATCTCTAGGCGCTGAAGGGAGTGCTTTCAGTAAAATAACATTTACTTCGTACTAATTCTATTCTATTCTAGGAGTCTTTTAAATATATGTGTGTGTGTGTAATAATTTATTTTTACATCATTTTGTGCCTTTTTCCATCATTTGCAATCCCCGTGGGCTTCTCACCACCAAATCACCCATGTGCCATCACCATAGCCCAATGTACTTCCCTCCCCCCACTGTTTTTGAACCCATTCCCCACTCTACCCCCATAAAATGTCTCTGGTATATGGCATTTCATTATTATTATTATTTTCTCCCCTCGTCCTTTATACTCCTGCTATGAGTGAAACCATCCACTACTTTTCCTTTACTTTCTGGCTTATTTCACTAAGCATGATCTTTTCCAGCTCCATCCATGTTGCTGCAAAAGGCATGTGTTTATTTTATTTTATTTTTTTTGGTTGCTGAGTAATATTCCATTATGTATATGTACCACATCTCTTTAATCCAGTCATCCACTTTTGAGCATTTGGGCTGTTTCCATGTCTTTCCAATTGTAAATAAAGTAGCAATCAACATGGGGGTGCAGGTATCTTTTTGAATCAGTGTTCTTTTGAATAGATATCTAGGAGTGGGGTTCCTAGGTGGTATGGAAGCTCCATGTTAAGCAGTTTGAGGAACCTCCAAACAGTTTTTCATAGTGGTTTTACTAGTTTGCAGTCCCCCCAGCAGTGCAGTTCCTTTTTCTCCACATCCTTGCCAACATTTGTTGTTGTTAGTTGTTTGAAGATGTGCCATTCTCACTGGGGTGAGGTGGTATCTCATTGTGGTTTTAATTTGCATCTCCCTTATTATGAGTGATGTTGGACATTTTTTCATATGCTTGTTGGCCATCTGCATTTCCTATTTGGAGAAGTGTCTTTTTAGCTCTTCTGCCCATGTTTTAATGGTGTTGTTTATTTTTGTTGAGTTTCATCAGTCTTTGTATATCTTTGTGATCAATCCTTTATTGCTAGTTTTGTGTGAGAAAATTGTTTCCCAATCAATGGGATGTCTGTTTATCTTTTGTAATGTCTTCTTTGCTGTACAGAAGCTCTTTAACTTGATGTATTCCCATCTGATTATCCTTGCCGTCACTATTATTGCACTGGATGCTCTATCTTTAAAGATGTCACTGATGTATATGTTGTATGGTGTTTGGCCCATTTTTGCTTCCAGGTATTTTATGGTTTCTGTTCTTATGTCTAGGTCTTTAATCCGCTTCGAGTTGATTTTTGTGTATGATGCAAGGTAGTGACCTCGTTTCATTTTTTGCATGTAGCTTCCCAGTTTTCCCAGCACTGTTTGTTGAACAAACTTTCTTTGTTCCATTGTATCTCCTTGGCTCCTTTGTCAAAGATTAGCTGCCCATACACCTGTGGGTTTATATTTGGGTTTTCTTTTTTTCTTTTTTTTTTTTAAAGATTTATTTATTTGCCCCTCCCTGGTGGCGCAGCAGGTTAAAACACAGCACTAAGAAGCTTAAGCCACTTCCACATGAGTTCGATTCCCACCTGCCCCAGAGGAGATCCACATGGCGCCACAGACCTCTCCTGACTTGCCCGCTGCTCCCCTCAGCAGTGTACTTTGTAGATCTCCTGCTCTGTCTCTGGTGAATCCTCTCACCCTCTGCATATCTGGCTTGTACCCCAGAATGAATAAAAAGTCTTCAAAAAAAAAGATTTTTTTGTGCATACAGAACTGGGGTACAGGCCAGAGGCAAAGAGGCGGCGAGAGGCTTCACCAGAAACAGAGTGGGGAGCAGAACAGGCAGATCAATGAAGTACACTGATGAGTGGAGCAGCGGGTGGGTCAGGAGAGGTCTGCCACGTCATGTGGTCACCTCCGGGGCAGGCGGGAATAGAACTCATGCGGAAGTGGCTCTAGCTTCTCAGTGCTGTGCTCTAACCTGCTGGCCATATTTGGTTTTTCTATTCAAATCCACTGACCTGTGTGTCTGTTCTGGTTCCAGTACCATGCAGTTTTGATTATTATGGCTTTGTAGTATAGCTTGAAGTTTGGGATTGTAATGTCTCCATTCTCTTTCTTCTTAGTCATGAGAGTTTTGGCTATTCGAGGTCTTTTATTGTTCCATATAAATCTCATCAATATTTTTCTATTTCTTTGAAGAATGTCATTGAGACTTTTATTGGGATGGTGTTAAATCTATATATCGCTTTTGGTAGGATGGCCATTTTGATGATGTTAATTCTCTTGATCCATGAGCAAGGGATGTCTTTCCATTTCATGATGTCTAATTGCAGTGTTTTGTAATTTTCTTTGTATAGGTCTTTTACCTCTTTTATTTGATTGACTCCCAGGTATTTGATTCTTTTTGTTTTTATTGAAAAGGGGATGTTATTTATTTAGTTAGTTAGTTTTGCTTCTTATGATTGGTTGTTTGTGTATAGGAAGGCCTCTGACTTTCGTGTGTTGATTTTATATCCTGTTACTTTGGTAAACTGGTTGATGGTTTTGATTAGTTTCTCTGTGGAGGTTTTAGGCTTTTCCATGTAAATTATTATATCATCTGCACATAAGGGCAGTTTTACTACTTCTTTCCCCATTTGGATTCCTTACATATCTTTTTCCTGTCTTATTGCTCTGGCTAGAACTTCCAATGTTATGTTGAAGAGCAGTGGTGATAGTAGACACCCTTGTCCTGTTCCTAATCTCAAAAGAAAGGCTTTCAGTTTTTCTCCATTGAGGATAATATTGGCTGTGGGTTTGTCATAAATGGCTTTTATCACATTGAGGTATGTTCCTTCTATTCCGAGGACTTCAAGGGCCTTAAACATAAATGGGTGTTGCACTTTGTCAAATGCTTTATCCGCATCTATTGATATGATTGTGTGGTTTTTATTATTCTGTCGGTTGATGTGATGGGTTACATTAATTGATTTTCTGATGTTGAACCAATCTTGTGTTCTAGGAGTCTTTTTAACAGACAGGTTGCACTCTTCTTTTTACTGTATGTCAAGAACTGTGGGATGATTTGATGTGGTCCACATACCCAGAATTTTTGATAGTCCAAACTCAAATAGCCAGAAAAAGCATATATGCTTCCCTTCTCTTTCTTATTGCCTTAATTGCTGTGTATTTCTGAATTAAACATCACTGCCGCCCAGTTCACACACCTTGTGTTTTGGTGAGCATCTGCTTCTTTTGTCTGAACACAAATTTTTCATTGTGAAAGCCAGTCCATTCTGCATTACCCACTTAGCCTTTGCTGGAGTCTGGATTTCCATGAGAGTGAAGCCTTATGGGTAAAAAAAAAAAAAAGCACAGAATTAAATTACCAAGGGAGGCCCTCCTTGGTGGCACAGTGGATTAAAGCACTGCACTGAGAAGCTTAAGCCACTTCTGCATGAGTTCGATCCCCGCCTGCCCCGGAGGAGATCCACATGGCGAGGCAGACCTCTCCTGACCCACTGCTCCCCTCAGAAGTGTACTTCGTCGATCTGCCTGTTCTGCTCCCCACTCTGTTCCTGGTGAATTCTGTCACCCTCCGCATCTCTGGCCTGTACCCTAGTTCTGTATGAATAAATAAATAAATCTTTAAAAAAAATTACCAAGGGAGACTTTAGTTTCAAAAGCCAATGTTTGTTCCTGAGTTTTTGAGTTTTAAAAGTCTGAGAGCTGCAAAACCAAGATCTTAGTGCTCATTAGTATATATATATATATATATATATATATATGGAGAGAGGGAATTGATGAGAAAAATACAGAGTGGTAGAGAAACCAACTTTTCTGGCCCTATGAGAAAGAAGCATTTTTTAGTTGGAAGTGGAAGAGGAACTGATCAATATCTCTGTTCAGACACCAGTGTCCAGTTCAAGAAGACAGTTAATAGAACTTACAGGTGGGTGTTAAAATTCAAGAACAAAGCACCTGTTTCCAGGGAAACTGGGAATTGTCAAGCCTACCATTGTGGTAAGGAAGCAGAAAAACAGACATGTACCTGGGAGTAAGGCAGAGGGCCTTGTAGAATTTCCCTTGCACAGCATAGGGAGGATCCAGGAATATGGGACTGGGAGAGTGGACAGAACATAAGAGAATAAGAAGACGACACTGTAAGTGTCTGTTCTGGTGGCACATACCAAGTAGGAAAAACCAATGTGGTTATAAGCAATGATCTGTAGTCTGGCATTATCAAAGCCCGCAGAATGTAGCAGCAATGCTAAAAGGTTGAGGCAGTCATGAAGCATTGGTGACAGGGGTCATTTGACAGGTTGTGTGGCATTGGGTTAAACCTCTACCTCTAATTGGAATGGCTACATGAAATAAAAATGAAGTTCAGTTAAATAAAAATATAGGGGAAAGCTATACTTCTTAAACATCTTTATTACAGAAAAATAAAGAAAGAGAAAAGTAGGGAAAAGTGTCTTGTCTGTACCCCTGAGACCAGGGGAAGGGAGGCTGGTACTATTGTGAGGCGTTCATCTGTCTATATTTGTCTACCCTCTCATGTTACAGTGCTTCCCAAATTCCATTCCTTTAAACACCACCATGATTTGTAAGAAGGCCAAGGAAATTTTGTGCAGGTACTGAAAATAAAGCAATGAAAAGAAAAATTACAACAAGCCAATTCCAATATTTGAAAGGTACAATTTATATAAAATTTGCAGAGTTTGCTGGAAGATCTGTCTATGAAAGTCAGGGTAGTCACGTTCCTGAAAAGTGGTTACTTCTGAGTTCCATTTTAAATACGATCAGAGGGGATTATTTTGGAGGTAAATGTTCTGAATGTTTGTGGTCTCTGTTCTCTATGTGATTCCTAGCAGCTTGTTTTCTCCCAAAATCCAGTGTCTGGGAGGCCTTGTTCTTGACTGTGGTGGCTTTCGGAGCAAGGCCTCACACTGCTACAGATTACTCTAGGGAAGGAGCCCTGTGGTTACTCTTCTCTTTCATATTCCCAGCACAATCTGTTATTTCTTCCATTTATAGTTTTGGGTTCTGCTTCTCCAAACCAAACTCTGGCAGTTAAAACATGAGTCGCAAGACTCCTTGACATAGTGATCAGACTGCAGCTTCCATGTCTTTGTACGCAACCAGACCCCCATTGCTGTACTTTCTGTCCGTAGGAGCTCAGGAGGCTTTTCTGTCATTTGCCTACCTACACTTGGATGCTGACTTGGATGATTTGGATGCTGGCAGTGGTGATGTGCAAGGCACAAGGTAAAGATACACAATACGCCTGCTAGGACCCAACAAATGCCATTTCTGGAGTGGAGATGTTCGACCACTGTTGTTTGTGCTGTGCTATTTAGTCTACATGGGTTATTAAACATATAATTTACTTGAAGGGCATGGGAGTGGTTCTTTCTGCTCTTTGCATTTTATTTTGAGTGTTGAAGTGCACTTGGCTATTTAGAAACTGTTCCCATGGATAAAACCAGACATAAAAAGTATTTTTTTCTAAATTAAGCTATTGTTTTTCACATTTCAGTTTACATAACTTCAAAATAGTAATTCCTCTCATTTTTGAGGCTAGGGAACACTTGAAGGAATGAGAAATAATACTGTTTGGTTGGTGATCTGGCAGTAAGCCTTAGCAATGGTCGTAGCTTTCTTTCACAGAACACATACAGGTAGATCTATCTAAGTACCTATCTACCTACCTACCTAGTTACCTATCTATCTACCTATCACAGCATCTTCCTGTAAAAGATTGAAATCAGAGGTTGCCTGGGTTCACACAGTCTGTTGCATGAAATAGGTCTCCTAAATTCCTAGTTGTGCAGCCCCTTCCGCTCTGTTGCATGGGAAGGCACCCCTCACCTTGCCACTGCCTTCGTCCTGTCAGTATGGGGGGCCTTCACAGCATGGCGCATGGGGTGAAGGAAGGGCAGACTTCCCCCCATTTGCACACAGGATTTACTGACTGACGAAATGAAATTCCATTATAAGCAGCAAAGTCATTGTAGCTTTCTACCAAATTACTTCTTCCATAAGTCAAGAAAAATTTTCCAAGAAGTGACATTTGTAATCTTACCCCCTTTTCAAAAAGCATTTCTCGACAAACATTTAGGAAATCCAATCCAAACAGCACAACAGCACTATGTCTAGAAATTCCACATCTACCACGAGTACACCGCATTCAGCCTGCATGAGTGCAGCACTCTTGAGTTTCAATGTACTTGTTACCAGGCCCATTATATCATTTCTGATATTCTTAGGGATTGTTGAGAAGATATTTTTGCCTTTTGTGTTACACTCTGTATTTTCTGAATACATTAATATTTTTCTTAAAAAACCAGAATTTTGGATTTTGAGGAGCTCTCCATTTTGTATACCACTTTATTAATGTGTACTTTTATATTTATTAATTCATTCCCATTTTGAAAGAGAGGTAAAAGCTGTAGAAGGTTTGTATATATCCACATATATCTCTTTTTTCCCTAATGAGAAGTTAGGATTGAATATTTCCCTCTGAGAACTGCTTTATCAATTTCCTTAGATATTAATATGCGGCATTGTAGTTGCCATTACAGTAATTTATAATTCTCATATAATCTTTGGTATAATTAAAGAGTGGAAAGAAATATGTATAACTCTAACTTTTTAACATTGTGATCGCTATTCTAGGTTATGGGGAGCAAGTTTTCTTTTATCATTCAAATTCAATTTGTAAGAATGTTTCACATGTCTTTGAAAAACTTTATTTTTTGGGGGGGTAGAAGTTTATAAACACACACTTAAATACACACATATAAATTAAATCTATAATTTATAAATATTTACTTATCTTGTGTATTATTTTTCAATACATGGCATTGAAAATTTTATGAATTATTGAAAGTTCTGCCATTATGATTGTGGATTTATACATTTTTCTTTGTGGCTTCATTAGCTTTTTATTTATATCAGTGTTCTGTTGCTAGGTGCATGAAAGGTCATCATTAACATATTTTATTTTAAATTGCTCCTTTCATCATTTAAAAAAATAAATTTTTGTCCTTGATGGATTTTTGTCTTCATTTATTCCTTTTCTCTCCTTTTAAAAGTCTTTCTGGACTGATACTTGAACCGTTACAGGTTTTTGAATTATTTTTTTGAGTTATTTATTTATATAAGTTTTTATTAAGGCAACACTGGCTTAAATGTTGTATATGACTAAGAAATAGAGAGTCCCACCTCTTTGGATGTACAACATGCCATATCCACCACTAAGTCCATTGGCTGCTACTCCCTTTTACCCTCTCCGCTCCTCTCCCTCTCTGGTAACCTGGTTTAGCCAAATTTCTAGGGGTCTTGTTTGGTGCTTTCTGACTCTGTTTCTTTATATTATACGCATGAGAGAAACTATCTCCAGTTTGTATTTCTCCTTCTGAGTTACTTTGCTTCCCAGAATGCTCTCTAGTTCCATCCATGTTGTCACAAACAAGACTTCATCTTTTCTTACAGCTGAGTAGTGTTCCATTGTGACTATGTATCACATTTCTCAATCCAGTCATCTGTTCATAGGCACATAGGTTGTTTCCATAACTCAGCTGTTCTAAATTGTGCTGTAATGAGCATAGACATGTATCTATCCCTTCAAATTAGTGCTTTTGCACCCTTTAGGTAGATACCAAGGAGTGGATATGTTGACTACTATGGTAGATCTATTTTTAACATTTTGAGAAACCCCTATAATGTTTTCCACAGGAGCTGAATCAGTCTATAGTCCCACTAACAGTGCATAACAGTTACTTTATCTTCATACCTTTGACCACACTTATGTCTGATCTTTCTGATGTGGGCCATTCTCACAGTTGTGATTTTGATTTGCATTTCTCTAATGCCAAATGTTGATGAGCATGCTTTTATGTACCTATTGTCCATGTTTGTGTACTTTGCAGAAGTGTCTATTTAGGTCTTAGGCCTATTTTTTGTTTTTTGTTTTGTTTTTGTTGAGTTGTGTAAGTTCTTTATGGCTCTTGGATATTAGTACCTTGCAAATATGTGATGTACAGATATTTCTTTTATCAATTAGGGTGTCTTTTCATTTAGTGAAGTGGTGCATGGCGTAGTTCCATTTACTTCTGCTTTATTCCCTTTGGTATTAGAGTTGCCAAATAAATCACCAAGGCTAATATCATGGGCTATTTTAGCTATATATTTTTCTATATATTTTATCGTTTTAGGTCTTACATCCAAGTCTTTGATCCATTTCAAGTTAATTTTTGTATGTGGTATGAGATCATGGTTTCATTCTTTCACTTGTAGTTGTTCAGTTTCCCCAACATCATTTCTTGAAGAGGTTTTCCTTTATTCAATGTATACCTTTACCTCATTTGTTGTGGATTAACTAGCTGTTTATATATGTGTGTGCTCATTCTGGGCTCTCAATTGGTCTTTCTGTGTATTTGCATTCTAATATGTTACTGTTTCGATTATTATAACCTTGTAATATAGTTTAAAATTTAGGGTTATTATGACTCCTCCCCCCCCCATTTTTGGTCAGGATTGCTTGGATAGGCACTGTATTGAATCTATATATTGCTTTGAATAAAATGGTCATTTTAACAATGTTAACTGTTCCAGCCCATGAACAGGGAACATCTTTTCGTGACTTTATTTCTTCTATTTCTTTTTATGGTGTCCTTATTATAGTTTTCATTTATAGGCCCTTTCCTGCCACTGGAATCTATCTTTCCCTTTATTTTTCTGGTCATAAAAATACTTGATAATGCTTCTATCTTATTTCACAGTTTCTATCTTCAACCTTATTCCATCTACTTTTGAGCTTACAGAAATTCTTTACATAATTTCTGGTCACTGAGAATTTGCTTTCTTGTTTTTGTATTCTGTTTCTTTGAAAGATTGAAAAACCATATTTGAATTTACATTTCTCTAACAACATCAGGAATACAGAAAAGTGTTGGTTTCTTCTTTGAATTTTTCTCTAACTTTTCTGCATTTGACTTTGAATGTGTATTGTTTTTAATCAGAAAATACTTGTATATGCACTAAAGTTTTAAAATATCAATGTTCTCTTGTGATTCTTTGATTAAAGTGGTCACCGAAAATAAAAGAGAGCTACTGAACACACCTGCTTCTTTAAGATGCTCCCTAAAAACTGCTAAGGAAGTGTTGATTGTGACATGGCAAAAAGTCAAGGCTGGTAGCCCAGAAAACATGGTCACCTTCAGCAATAAACATGGGGTTGTAGTCCAGCCTCCTTATCAGGACAAGATAAACATCACCCAGCTGGAACTCAATAACTCAACCATTACCTTCTGGAATACCACCCTGGAAGATGAAGGATGTTACAAGTGCCTCTTCAATACCTTTGGCTCTGGGAAGATCTCAGGAGAAACCTGCCTTACTCTCTCTGGTGAGAGTCTCTGAAATGCATTGTGTTTGGCTAGAAATGTTTTCAAGAATGTTTGGAACATTGTGGTCATGCAGTTTTTCACGATCCTAACCTCAGAAGTGATCATGGTTATGGTTATTTGAAGAGCTAATTGAGTTATATTGAATCTCTGCTGGAGTTACCTTTGCACTGAGGAATCCTATTGTTTGCAAGACTTAATTGAGCACCATGGGAAAACAATGAGAGGATTTAGACCTGGTGTTCACTAGCAAACCTGTGACTCCAGAAGAGTCCTGACCACTCTCTTTAAAGAATTTATTGGTTTGAAAAATGAATGTGAAATAGATCATTTCTATTCTTAAAAGCTTTAGGAATTTAATTTAGGAGATTTAATGACAGAGCCAGATTGGGATAACCTAGAACCATTGTGATTGTTCTTCTCATTTTGTTTCAGTATAGTTCTCCTAAGATTGATCAGGGGGTGTGCAGAAGAGTCTTGTCATAACTGATGCTTATTAGTGATTTAATTGGATAGTAAGCATTTTTTTTTTCAATTATAAAGATTTGGCTTGACAAGATTCATTTCTTCAACTCATACATGGCTGAGATCAACAATTGAGAAATAGGAATAAGAGCTAATTTTGGACTATGGGACAGTTGGTGGTGATTTCAGGATGGAAAAGGCTAACTTAGGTCTCTTAGGAAAAAGTGAGAGTTTGAGTATACCAAGATTAGTGGAGCTAGTTTAAGAGGAGACTCAGTAGCTAAGAATGTTAGGGAGTTATAATAGGTGCAAATGCAAGTCTTTTTCACTTATGTTGCCTTTAAAGAGTCTGTTCTGCGAGATCCTATACGAGGCTCTCTTCATGCCAGGGCACATCCTCAGTCTAGTCCTCCCTTTCTTTTTGTGTTTTGCTGTTTTTTCCCCCACTCCCACCTACTCTCCTTCCCTTTGTACTAATCTGTTGCCTTTGTTTTGTTTTCCTTCTTGTCATATTTTTTCACTTGTCTGTTTTTCTCTTCTTTTTTCTCTCATTTTTCTCTCTTTCTCCTATTTTCCCCTCCATTGTTGATAGTATTTTGCATTATTTAGCATCTAGGAACTACACTCCCTTTAGTCTTCCAGCTAGCAATACTATTGCTCTTTTCCATACTGACCCTTTTCAATCATATCATATAGCTTTCACCTGTCATTCTTGATACTCCCGAGGACCCTGCCACCCCTCCCGGCCACATCCACCATACTCCTCTCCCCTTGTCTTTCTTCACATAGTACTCATTACCATCAGTAAGCTACACACTGTGTGGGTAGTCATCATATAATGCTCTCTATCCTCCACCCCATTCACATCTTGAAACTCTAAGCACAGACCAGGCTTTCGTGTAGCACTACCCTTTAATTATCTTGTGGATTCTAACATGAGCCACAGAAAGGCATGTCTGTGTTTTCCTGGCAGAGATAAAGTCATATTATGATGAAAGTGAACTCACTAGTCATAGGACTTTTAAAAGGGCACAGAGAATAGCTAGCCTAAAAATACTGCCTTTTCCCATAAGCTACTTATTTTCTCTTAACTTTCTAATGTGATCTCCAAGATCTCACTGTTATTATGTGATTTTCTGGTAATGATTATGGATTCCATTTTATGTAGATTCCAAAAAGGGACTTTCCACCCACCTCATCCACTGGTCCATTTCAAGAAGAAAAAGGCTATCTCTTGACAGCAGCCCCTGTATTGGCTGTTAGCTCCAACACTACCCTAGTCCAGGCATCTTTTTTGAGATGCTGATTGTGGAGGTATCTTACAGCTCTTTAGAGAAATACCCAGAGGACAGCAGAAATGTGACATTGCCCATGGAAAACGAGGCCTTTTGGGAGAGAAGTCCATTTAGCTAATTCTAGAGGCAAACTACAGAGGGTTCTTTCTTGTCATGGGTTGTGTTAGTTCCATTTCGACCCTACAGGTTAGTAAATCAGACACTGCAAGAATTAGAAGCAGGAGAAGGTCCTCATTTGAGTTGGAATTCTCCCTTAATTTTCTGTGCCGCCCCCCTCCCACTCCTTCCTTTCTCTAAGTTGCTTTCTTTTAACTCTGTGACGCAGGTATGGGTCTCAGATCAGGTGCTGAACTGATGGCAGACTACCTTTGCTTTTTGTCCCAGTACAGCCCACAGTATCTCTTCACTATAAATTTTTTCAAGACCACCTAAATATCACTTGCTCTGCCAATGCCCGCCCAGCACCTGTGATCTCCTGGAAGGTCACAGGGTCAGGGATTGAGAACAGTACTGAGATTTTACCACACCTCAATGGAACCACGTCTGTCACCAGCGTCCTCCATATCAAAGATCCCAAGAGTCAGGTGGGGAAAGAGGTGACCTGTCAGGTGCTGCACCTGGGGACTGTGACGGACTTCAAGCAAACCGTGAACAAAGGTAAGAGAAGATGGGCACTGTCCATCTGCTTATTTATTGCAAAGTGACACTGAGGAGCTTATATTTTGGCTGATTTGCATTAATTGACCATTGAAAAAAGAGTTAATAACAAAGGCATATATTAGAGGAAATACAATGAAAACATTGGGGAGTTTGAAGCATGGCATTACTGATTTATGTTTTTCCTTTATACTTCTATCTATTTTCCAAAATTTAACCTTTGAACAACTTGAGAATTAGGTTGCTGATCACCCCCCTCCAAAAGGTGAAAATCTGAGTCTAACTAACTTTTAACACCCCCAAAACCAATAGTAGCCTACTATTGGCCAGTAGCCTTAACCAATAATATAAAGTTGATTAACACATATTTTGTATGTTTTATGTATTGTGCTGCTATGACAATAAAATAAGTCAGAGAAAAGAAAATGTTATTGAGAATATCATAAGAAGAAAAAACAGTTATAGTTTTGTATTTATCAATACTGTAAGTTTCCAAGAAAATTCATCTAAGTGTATCCACACAGCTCAAATCTGAGTTGTTCAGGGTCAGTGCTACTTTAATAAAAGCAAAGAATATAGTATTGGAGGCAAACAAACCTTTGACCAAATCTTGGTTCTATTAGTTATTACTTTAATTTGTGCTTCCTTGTCTGAGTGTATTTTTTATTAATTGGTTAGATGATAATAATACTTACCTAGCTCTTGGGCTATTTTGACTTAATGTGATAAGACATTCATGACTCTTATTACATAGTAACAATATAAACCATTCATGACTCTTACTACATAGTAACTACATAAACCATTAGTGATTACTATTATTATGATTATCTCAGTATTATTTAGAATATGACATCACAAATACAGACCTCCATATGTATGATGACATTTGTATCATGATTTTTTTGCTTCTACAGTTTTCTTCTGTGATTTTGTATTTCCTTTTCTCTCGTTGATATCTATAGGTGTCTGGTTTTCAGTTCCATTATTGTTAAGTATTGTTTCCTTGTTCATTCTTCTGGTTTTAATCTCAATCTTATTATACTGGAAACGTCATCGGCACCAGGACCAGGTGAGTTATCACAGGTAGTACAAAGAAAGAAACAAATGATTGATTAGTGACAATCTGAGAATCATCTGAAGATAAAGGAATGACAACAAAGTGTTGTTTGTTGCTTCCAAAATACATAAATGTTGATGCTATTCTAAAGTAGCCCATCCTGTTTTCAAGTAGTTACGTGATCATTAGGGATTCACCCAATGGCAAACCCAGAGAATGGAAGCTCAGCACCAACTCTTTGTTCATTCTATGCTCTAGTGAGAACAAACTCTTCTCTTTGACAGCATTCTGCAGGCCAGTTACCCAATTTGAGAGACTGTGCAATTGTCCAACATAGTATTAATAAAGTGGTGTTTTTTGTTGTTGTTGTTATATAATTTTTTAATTAATATGTTTATTTTTACATCATTTGTCCATCTCAGTTGTAATCCCTGTGGGCTATCACCCAGTCACCCGTGTGCCATCACCATAGTCCAGTGCACTTCCCATGCCCCCATTTTTGATCCCATTTACCACTCCACCCCCATAAAATGTCTCTGGTAGATAGCTGCTCATTATTATTTTTTTTTTCTTCACTGGTCCATAAAGTAGTACTTTTATATTATGCTTTCAGTATGTTTCAAACACATTGTGCAAGCTGTGTCATTCATTCTGTCTTAGAGGCTAAATTTCTCTGTGGCCCCTACATCTACCAGTGTCTTATGTATACCATATACTTAATAAGTGTACATTGAAGGAATGAGTGATTGGATGGATGGTTGAATAGATGGAAGGATAAACTTTCAAAATGATTTTTATCAGTTTCTCTTTTCTTATTGCAAATTCAGTGCCTCATAAATGCTGGGTCTAAAATATTCTGAGATACCATAAAACAAGGGAAGGCAAGCATGTGAGAGAGAACTAAATTTCTTTCACATCTGAAGACAGTACATAACTTACTAAAATCTTGCCAAGCTGTAGTTAGTGTTGTATGTAATGGAAATGCCCTAGACTGAAGAGATGATAGGGGAGTTTTCTCCACCTCAGATGATTGAAAGATAAAGAAGAAAATATTGGCTTTGAGTGTTATTTTGGTTCTTTATTAAAAATATCACTCAAATGCTACCTTTTCTCCTTTTAATTTTATGTCTTTAGACTAATATAGTTCATGTTCCAGACTTTGAGAAACTTAATTTTGTAAATCTCTTATAGAAACACCAGATGTTTTTTCTGATTTTATAGCAAAAGCAACAAATCTTCAGTGTCAGAGGTAGACATGGATACTGTTTTTTTTTTTTTTAAAGGTTTATTTGTGCACACAGAACTGGGGTACAGGCCAGAGGCTCAGGGGCGGCGAGAGGCTTCACCAGACAGAGTGGGGAGCAGAACAGGCAGGTCGATGAAGTACACTGCTGAGGGGAGCAGCGGGCGGATCAGGAGAGGTCTGCTGTGCCATGTGGTCACCTCCGGGAATTGAACTCATGCAAAAGTAGCTTTATCTTCTTAGTGCTGTGCTTTAACCGGCTGCACCACCAGGGAGGGCCGGATACTGTTTTATATGGGAGATATTGCTTATGAACACTGCACTTTTCTAATTAGAAACTGATGCCCATAAAGAGAAGTTGTTTTACTTCCTTCAAGTCACACAGCTAGTTAAGGGTAGCTCTGGTAATAGAACTCTTGTTTCTTGACCTGCTCAATTGTTTTTCAGTGATGGTGTCCCTGGAGTCCTGACTTGATCATTGTTATTATCAATGCATTTATTTTAGTTTGCGCTTTCTCTTACTGCTATATTCTTTTTTGGAAAGTATAAACACAACAACTTGAAGTGTTCAAATTAATTTTAAAAAGTCCCTCTTGGAAAAGAAACATGTAGTTCATGTATTCAAATCTCAGGTAAATTCCACTAGAAAGGG